GAAATGTTTTCGTTTTCAAATAGACCGAAACAAAAGAGTGATAAAATCAAAATTTTAATACGTCAAGATGTTTCATAATGTTTAGATGTATTTGCACAATTATTTTAGAATGCTTTAAGGTATTTTATGATTCGACCAATATTTTAGAAAAATAATTCTTAAATTTTTTATTTTTTTTCATTCTTTTCCGAAATGGATCGAAACGTTTCTAGAACACATCGGAACGTTTCTGAAACACATTGGAATGTTTCTGAAACACATTGGAACGTTTCCGTTTCCTAAGTGATCGAAACAATGCACTGAAACGAAATTTTAATCCTTGTCCCTATCTAAAGCCCATTAACTCTTGGTCCTAGTACAACATTGGGCCAAGATTAGGATTACTTTCCATTTGTACTTTGTTCTACATCAAGAACTGTAACTCTCTCTTTGGTGCTTCTCTCCAAAGGCAGATTCACAGTTCACAGTCATGGAATCACAATTGCTAGTCAAGGTAGCCAGCCCTAGGGATTTCAACATGTATGAGAGTTGTGTGAATCCTCATAAGTGTTTCTCCTACTTTGACGTCTTTCTCTCTTCTCTTTTTTGGTGATCTGTAGAAGAGGCGTTGAGGGGGGAGAGAGAGAGAGAGAGAGAGAGAGAGAGAGAGAGAGGCCTTACAGAAAATGGAGACCCAATGAGGATGTTATATGAGGGCTAATACGTGCAGAAGGCACAATTTTTCAAAGTAGACTCCTTGTTTTCAGCTTTAACTGACACAAAGTCTAGTTGACTAAAAATTTTGTCCTATTTTCAGTGAGAATTTATTATTTATCTGAAAATAATTTACATTAATTCATCGCAATGAATCGAATAAGTGCTTACTATTTTCAGAATTGCTTTTTAAGCATGCTGTTAGCAAATGAATCTTTGAATGTTGTTTGCAAAGTTCGGCTACTGCAATGCAATTTGGAATACTTGAACAGTCTATTCTTTCTCTCTCTCTCTTGACTTAACTATGACCTTTACAAGTGAAAGTGCAGGGATGTCTCCTTAGTTATAAATAATCATTCCATTAAATAATTAGAATTAGAAATTTATATAATATGAATAACTGACAGTCTTCTGATTTTAGAAACCACTTCATGACATCTTGGGTTTTAGAAAAGCAGTAGATGGAATCACAATTGATGCAGCTCTTCAATGGTAAAACTTGTAACTCTTTTTTTTTTTTCCCTCTCTTCCCTTTTCTTTTCCATTTCTGACATGTAAGCATGCTGATTGATGTTGCTACATTTGTAGGATTTCCTATTGCACCATTAGAAGTATACTAAGCACATCCATTTTGCATATACTAAATTACCAAAATTAGTATGTGAAAAACTGATAGTTTGATTTGGTTGTCTTCTTCATTTTTTACTGTAGGTGTTCGGATGCATATTCAGATACAATGCTGGGATATGCTAATAGCATACGTACTATTGATGGTGGTACTCACATAGATGGTATGAAGGCTTCCCTAACTAGAACTCTCAACAGCCTGGGGAAAAAGTCAAAGATTATCAAGGTATGTTGGATCTGGCCAATTCATCGGGCCTTCTAATGTTATTTCCAGGGAAGAACTGGATTCTTCTTTTAAATATCTGTTTCTCTTTGCCCCTCTCATTTTTCCTTTTTTTTTTCAGAAAAAAAAAATGGTGTTTTTCCATATAACTACTAAAATCATATTTTTGTATATGTTGTTGCATGCTATGTAGAGCAGGATAGAGATAGATAGGAACATCAATTATGTTCACAATTAATCTTGTATTTACTTTCTTTTCTTTTTTTAATACCAATTCCAGGATAAGGATATAAGTCTAAGTGGTGAGCATGTAAGGGAGGGATTGACATGTGTAATCTCAGTCAAAGTTCCAAATCCAGAGTTTGAAGGACAAACAAAGGTACCCTCTAATGATATTCTGCTTTGTGGTTAGAGATTATTGGGATTTCTTATAAATTTGTAGTTTTCATTAGCTCTCCTAGACCCCGCTATATTTGGACAGGGATTGGCCTTTTTTTTTTAGTTATTATCACCTACTTTCTTCTTTCGCTGCCAAAAAGTCTTATCCGTTTCCCATGTTATTTCCTTGAAAGACAAGGTTGGGAAATCCGGAGGTGCGAAAGGTGGTTGATCAATCTGTTCAAGAGTATCTTACTGAATTCTTGGAGTTGCATCCAGATATACTTGATTCAATACTTTCCAAGTCCCTTAATGCTCTCAAGGTACTTTTAGATTATTTGTGGCACCATTTGATTTAATCATATAGCTTTTCAAGTTGCTCACTTTTTGAACTTCATGTATCCATTGCTTATATATTTTGATTGAAGAATTGGCTTATGAACCATGTCTGTTGTTGCGATAACTAGGCAGCTCTGGCAGCGAAGAGGGCAAGGGAGCTGGTGAGACAAAAGAGTGTCTTGAGATCGTCATCTCTTCCCGGAAAGCTTGCTGATTGTTCAGCAACAAATCCTGAAGAATCTGGTATGTTCAATTCTTCTATGTTAGTTAGGAGAGTTTCATAGGAAAGAAGGCAGTTTCGGAAAGAATTTAAGTAGCATGGATGCTTGTTGATAGAGTTGTATTTATGTTGGATACTGGCACTCCTCAGATACTTCCAAATGTATGTCCCCAGTCCATATTTTCTAGACGTAAGGGACTGGGGGCAAATTGTCCCATATTTCTTGGATTTGGAAAGTTCGAATGTCAAGATATATTATCCAATACTTCTTGGATGCTCTAGGATGTGATTAGCATATTAAACATGGCCTTTTTTCGTTTCTTTTTTGATTATATTTCGGTATATGGTTAATTTATATTTGTACGACTCTTAAAGGATTTACACATAACTTCATATCTATTGAGTGTGAGATATGAAAAATTGAAGCATCATTGTTTTCACCATATGTTGCAGAAATATTTATTGTTGAAGGAGATTCAGCTGGTGGAAGTGCAAAACAAGGTCGTGATAGGCGCTTTCAGGTGAAAATTAATTTCATAGTTGCTAGCGAGCAAATGGTTTTCATTTTCAATCTGCACTCCGCAGTTGAAGCTTTTTATAAACAATTTCTTGCAGAAAGCTGCTTCTTTCCATTGGGTTTTTAAAAATTGACCTTTTTTTTTTTGACCGAATCCAGCATTAGGCAATTACAGTTCCCTAATTTAAGGGTCATTTAGAGAGGTTTCTAAAAATCATGGAAGATACAAAAAAGGGAAAAGATAAATGAACAAGAATTTGACTAGGAGAGCACTTCAAGGGGGCATTGATGATGGAAATGTAGAACAACAAAGCATACGGACTTTCAAAATGTGGGTGCGAAAGTGGGTCGTCTTTCATTCTTAAAAAGTTGAAATGGCTTAAGCTCTCAATAGTGGAAATTTAGACTTCATAAAGTTCACCATGATTACATAAAATCTTAGTTTTAAAGTTTGATCCAAGGATCAAAATATTGTTTCGAAACGTTTCCAAGGAGATCGAAATAAATCAATGATGGAATCGAAATTCTAATTTTTCGAAGTATTCTATAATGTTGCGATATGTTTTATAATATTTTAATGCATTTGAACAATTGTTTCAGAATATTTCAAGATACTTTGATATATTTCGATTAATGTTTTAGAAAAATAATTTTAAATTTTTTATTTTTTCATTATATTTCCGAAACACGTCGAAACATTTCTGTTTTCTAGGTAACTGAAACAATACACCGACAAAATTTTGATCCTTGGCTTGATAACATTTTACATTTTTCGTGTGTCATTGTGTTGTTCTATCTGTCTTTATTTGGTTTTACTAAATTTGAATGTCATACGAGATAACATATTAGTGACAGTGCAGTCCCCTAAGAGATCCTGTAGATGTAATTGTTTCTCGCCATTTGATCATTGCAATAATAGTTGTTTTAGCCCCCAGTAAATTCAACGGAAATTTTATTCTTAAGAAATATTGCTTTTGTAATATACAATGTGTTATTGAGGTTTCAAGAGCCTTGCATTTGAATAGTCCAGCTCAAACTGACATGGTGTTTAGTTTGTTGTTGAAGATCATAATTATTTAGAACAAGGATTAAAATTTCGTTTCGGTGCATTGTTTCGGTCACCTAGAAAACGAAAATGTTTTTACGTGTTTTGGAATCGTTTCGAACAGTTTTGAAAACAGAATGAAAAAAGATAAAAAAAATAAAATTAAGTATTATGTTTTCAAAATATTGGTCGAAATATACAAAAATATCTTGAAATACCTTGAATATTCTGAAATTATTGTGCAAATGCATTGAAATATAACAAAATATTTTGAAACATTATGGAACACCTTGAAAAATTAAAATTTCGATTCCATGATTGAATCGTTTTGGTCTCCTTAGAAACGAAAACGTTTTGGATGTTTCGACTGTTTTAAAACGATATTTTGATCCTTGATTCAGAAGCATACGTTCTATTGAAAAGGTTCCAAAGCTTAACTGTTTGGACTCGGAGTTTGGACTGATATTACTCATGAATGTCTCAGACTCTCTTGGCTGAGGATTCATGTACTGATTTTGTTGATGATAGTAGAAGTCCTTTATTATTTGTGCATTGTCTATATTTTTCTACAAGAGTTTGTCCGATGCAATTTAATATCACCTCCTAAGCTTGTATATTAGCCAGCAGGGGTGGATTTACACTGAGGCCGTGGGGGCAACTGCCCCTAGTGCAATCTTGAAATTTTTTTTATATATGTTTGAAATTTTAAAGATTTTTTAAAATTTGCCCCCACTAAAATATTTTTAAAATTTATGAGTACCTTTATACTTGAATAATATTTTTGAGATCTAAAAATTTGTCCTAAAAATGTATTAAGTGATGTAGTTTAATGAAAAATTCCAAGAGTTGGAACTAGAATAACAGTAAATCTATGATACCAAAAAGAGATATTATACTAGAAATTAAAATTTTAAAGGTTAAGTTACAACTTTTAATAAATAAGTTGTAAGTCTTTGAGGTTATTCGAACAATTACAAATGTCGTGATTAACTATAAATATTGTAATGGATTATAAGATGTTATGACGATCACGAATAGTCTTTAAAATGTATACTTTTACCTTTGAAACATGTATTTTTCATGGTCAATCATTTTTAAGTTATAATTCGATCTTGAAAAGCCATAACTTGACCTAAATTGTTTCATTTTTCACCATGGTATCACCTTTGATACCATTAGGATAGTAATATTGGAAACATTTAATCTATCACATCATTATGCCACAAAATAGTATTAATTCTTTATATTTTAAAAATAGAAGGGATATAGTTGTCACGAATTTCTTATCAAATTGAACTTTTATATTTGAATTCTAAAATTCATAGCAATTGATTAAATTATTTTTGATTGACCTCTTGAAATTCAAAAATTTTTTTTTTGTTATTAAAAAAGGGGTAGGGGGCAAAGGAGAGCACCTAGAGACCACTTCAATAAACCCTCCCTCTGACCGCCTCTGTTACTCTTCTTGAGAACGAATTTAGTTAGGTTAGCATAGCAGTCAACCACCGAACTTCAATGTGGATTCTAAGACTTGAACTTCCAACCTTAGTGTGAGAAGTTCAGTCGATACCCCACTGGACCACTCACTAGGTTTTGCTGTTTTGTAATGGATTAAATTTTTCTTTCATATTACGAAATATTTCTATATTTAAAATTTGGTTGTTATAAATTATATTTGAAGGACCGTCTTTTGATTGATTGGTTTTTCAGTATCGACATAGCAACATATTTGTGATAAATTAATAGTTTTAACGTTATGATTTTAATTTTAACAATTAGTTATAATTTGTCCCCACTGCGCATAAATCTTGGCTCTGCCTTTGTTAGCCTCTTCACCTATTGTTAATTAGTTTTGAGTTTGATGTTGTATCATGTTCCCTTAAGCTAATTCGTTAGAGAATGTCATATTTTTATTAAGCTATGATGCATCATATTATGTGCTTTATGGGGAGTGTGGGTATTGACATGATTGCAATTATCAGATTCTTTATAGAAGAATTAACAAAGTAGGTTGCTCCACGACAATGTCTGTATAATAGCTTGTGTGGGCTTGTTAGCTTATACTCATGCATGTGTGTCTGGCATGTTACCCTAGCTATTCCTATGTATTCCATACATTGTCAATTAGCTTTCACCTACGACGCATGGATACGGATACAATACGAACGTTGCAATTCGGTAAAACCTAAGGTTTTTAAAATCGGGATCTTACCTTGGATCGATGGGGTTTTTTGTACGATCGGGGTAGTAGGATCGGAATCGTAAGATCCTACTTATTAAAGAAAATAGAACTAAAAATAGTGTCAACAACAAAGATTTCAATGAATCAAACCTTGTCTCTGCACTTAATGTAAATATATGATGATAGACATATATATAATATGCATACCACAAGCTAATTCAAATAAAATTGAGAACGTAGCTCAAAAGGTAGACCTTTCACATTAATATTATAACATTCAAGTTATAAGGCATAGAGGAGCCAAATACAATAGGGCCATAATAACAAAATCAAAAAATTATAATTTAAGGTTGTAATACGTAAACATTAAGGAGAAAAAACAGAGATAGCACATTCTGCTTCAAAATAAGTAAAAACAAAATAGTTTGTGGGCTGTGCAAGAGTAGAATCGTGGGATCATATTTGGGATCGGGATCCATCAATTCTACTGGTCAACGATTTTGTATACGATCCGGATCGATTTGTTAAATTTGGATTGTAGGATTGTGGGATCGTAGGAGTCAGATCGTGATTTTAATAACTATGGTAAAACGTAAAAATATAGGATACAGATATGGATACGGCCAAGATACACATACCATAAAATATAAATATATATTTACTCTAATCTAATTTTAGTTTTTATTTCCAATAAGTTCTTTAATAGCAATTCAAAAATATGAAATGTTCCTTTTTAAGTGAGCATTGATCCTCATCATTGTATACCCTCAAAGTTAATGTGACTAATTAACAGAACTAGAATTAACATTTAAGTGGTTGATTTGCTTAGAGGAACTTGTTGCTAAGACTTATAGTGTAATTAACTTGTATTATGTCCTTTTGATATGTGATAGTTGATATAGTTAAAAAACACCAACAATGGTTTTATTAATCAAAGGATACATGTAATAAATATCTGATATGTATAAAAATATTAAAAATATTTTATTAATTATCGGATATTTATAATGTGTATCCGGTAAGTAACCAACGAGTATCGTAACAAAACATTCGTGTTTCATAATCTTCCACTATCTGGAAGAAAGAAGATGGTTTTCTGAATTGATAGATTTGTGCAGGATGGTCTCCCCATTTGTACTTGTTTTTCTCTCTTTCTTTTTTGTTTCCTTTTACCTGTGGTGATGTTATTGGTGGTGGTTGTTGTGCGTGTGGTTGGGGTGTTTGTTTTTTTTTTTTTTTTGGGGGGGGGGGGGGGAATCAGTGGGGTTCCATGTACTTTTTTCCCTATCCTGAGATGCCCTAACTAGGACGAACGATTTAAAATGATGACCAAGAAACCATTTTGGTGCCTTTGTGCAGGCCATTCTTCCTTTAAGGGGTAAAATTTTGAACATTGAACGAAAAGATGAAGCAGCAATGTACAAGAATGAAGAGATTCAGAATCTTATTCTTGGTTTGGGACTTGGAGTAAAGGTTATCTCGTCAGAAGTTGTTTTCTTGTTGACTGCTTGATTATTTGTTCACTTAATAATCCTGATTTCAGGGTGAGGATTTTAAAAAGGAAGCTCTTCGCTATCATAAGATCATAATCTTAACTGATGCTGATGTAGATGGTGCTCATATTCGGACGTTGCTATTGACCTTTTTCTTTAGATATCAGGTAGATAATGGAGACTAAATCTGTAATATATATCTGCATGGAAAGGAAAAAGGGTAAAAGTTTACTGAATAATTTTTAGATTCCATGGAGTCTGGTTCATGCAGTTTTTGTTTCTTGCAGAGAGCTCTATTTGACGAAGGGTGCATTTATGTTGGTGTTCCACCCTTGTACAAGGTTTGCTTTCAGCAAGGATATATCAAATCGCGTCTGTCCTAATAAGTTCATCAGGTTTTCATTTTCCCTGTGCTAAAATATACAGGTTGAGAGGGGAAAGCAAGCATACTATTGCTATGACGATGCAGAACGTAAACAACTTCAGAGCTCCTTCCCTGCAAATGCATCATACAGCATTCAGAGGTTCAAAGGTAAGACCAGACACATGATGCGTAAGACTCCCCTGAATGTTTAGTGTTAAAAATGGGATGACACAGAAGTGATTTTTGTGCTCCGTCATCTAAATTCTAATGCTTGTGTCTTTCCTTTCAAAGCTTGTGATGTGTCTTTCCTTATTGATACAAAAAATGGAAGCCAAAGGAGCAAATGTGGACGGCGACCCAGAAAAAAGGAAAAAGTTATTCAAAAAACATTATTAATGTGGCTCATATGTTTATTCTAATGGGATTAGATGTTGCCAACAAAAATGCTTTGATATCTCGAATTGTTTTCTTGTGTGTACCTGTGTTTATGCTGAATGCAGAATATGATAAATCACAAAATATTGGGGTGTTCATAGATTTATGCCTATATTTGGAGAATCCTCATAATTGTATATTTATGCCTACATATTGGGGTATACAACATTCACAGAAATCAATTATATCCTCCATATATCAGTTAAAATGAGAAATGCCATACATATCTCCCAAGATTTATATCAATGTACTAATTTCTCAGGCGGAATGTGTGATTAATTCATAACAGCAGGTATTGAACACCAATTATATTTTAACTTGTGTGAAAGATATGTACATGTTCAACCCTTCTATGGCATTGATGTACCTGTTTTGGCCCTTTTTATTGTGCTTGACTTACAAAAGAATAATGCAGTGGTATCTTGATTGGTGCTTTTTTAATTTGATTCCAAATTATAGTTAATTATTGGAATTTTCCATCACTTTTCTCATCAGATTTGCAATACCCAAAGATGTTTGCAATATATTCAATACTTCATGGCATATATAAATCTATATATCTGTATCTTTGTGCCTCCTTTTCTCCAATATTTGGTCACTGGCTGGATGCTTCCACTTACATGATAGAACTTGTCTCAGCATCGTGCATGAATATAAACATGTCACTAAGGCTTCCTATATTTATGGAACCTTACAACATTTGCAAACTGAATATTCATGATGTAGGTGAGGTTTGCAATCGAGATTTTATGTTCCGCCGCTATTGGAGAATATTTATTTTTTGAGATAATGAAGCATGTTTAACAGTCCTAATCCTGGATAGTGCAGTGATATTTATAACACAAAAGATGGTAGTAACAGAAGCAAGGTCCATTAACTTAAGCATTTATAAGGTGTTTTGTGAATAAATTTATGAATAATTAATCTGCTTCGCCATGGACGTACCATTTTAACTTCTGTGCATTTTACTTATTTACAGCACCAGCTTGTTTCTTATCTCTGGATTTTTCAGCTTAAGGATTGAACATCCTTTAACAGGATCACCATGAGCATTCTGCCATTTTAATATTCTTCCTGTGAAAATAAGTGGCTTATGTATCATACTGTTTTGATAGGTCCTGCCAATATTTGGAAAATGAATCATAATAGAGTAGACATGTTTAATGAACCCTTCTATAAAACTCTAAGCTCTCCTTGATTAAACTTCGGTTTCCTTGGCCTACTCTATAATTGTTCGTTGGTACTAGTTAATTGTAAAGATGATCTACGTCGACACAACCATTTGCAAATGCCTAGGGATCCCAGAATGAATGGATTGAAGACTCGTGAAGATGATCCAGCCATAGTGAATCTTAGATTTATTTGAAATTTATTTCAGGACTTGATTTATGTTTTATATACTTGGCCTTAATATTATTAGTGTGAAAAGTAAGGTTTTTAAGTGTAAAGTAAAGTTTAAATATAGACCATAATCAAGCAAAATCTTGGGGAACTTGTTTGTTGTTGTTTCGACCAATTTCTGATGGTTTTCAATACTCACCTGCGTGAGTTTCTCACTAGAGCGACCAGGCTAGTATAAAAGAGAAGATGACTCTAAGAAATTGTTGGGACTCGCACTCACTACTCGTTTGCTTGGCGCTTGAACGAGGTCAGTCACACTTGAGCGGTTGTGACATATCAGAAATCTGATTTTATTAGGATAACTGACCAAACTCGAATCTCATTGGTTTTTAGAATAAATACAAAGCCCTTTGTTGTTTTCAGAGAGAAAAATGGAGCTTTTTGAATAGCTTTTTAGGTCAAAAATCCTAGGAAGCTTTTGAGAAGAAAATCTTGAGAGATCAAACTTAAGAGCACATTTTTTTTCTTTATTTTTAAATCAGAAAATTTTGTAGATAATTTTGGACTAGAGATTTAGTGTAAAATCTTGTGAGTGTTGCGTGAACACCCTACTCAATCAAAAACTTCAAAGATACGAGTTTTCTCAAACTCATCCAAATCTGAAGGAAGTCTTGAAGATCCGAAAGGGAAAATCAAAATTTGGAGGAGGACAAGTCAGCAGCATTTCTGTTTCTGGGGGAATGTGATCTACGAGTTGAACGACAAGAGGGAGTTTGGCGGGAGGACTACAAGACAAGATGATACGTTACTAGGGGTTGTAATTATTTGATTTTGAATTTCAGATTTCAATTGTGAAGGGTATAGGTTAGAGTTGGTCCAGCGATTTTTCATGTGAAAGTTTCCACGTAAAAAATCGCGTGTCTTATTTGTGATTGATTGATTGTTATTAGGTCGTCAAACAAAACCAGATCGATATATTTACATATATTGATAATTGGAGTGATGAATGATGTTACTTGATAGTTTGGGCAATTGCCATTCTAAAAAATATCCTACTTCGTCCTCAATTTTCATTTGATTTTTAATGAGGCCCAATTTTGTACTCCTATATTTCGTAATATTACTTTTATATAAAAAGTTAATTCCATGTGTATATAATTTTGTAATCGTGTCCAAAATTATGTTTAATGTTCATATAATGAGTATAACCCTTTTTTTTTTTTTTAGGAATATAGTGATTATAACTCTTTTATACTATAACTTTGGCCCATTCTTTAAAATTACAAAAATAACTTCACTGACAGTGGCCAAAATTAAGTGTTCATGCTTAATAGGAATTAAGTTAATTAGTTTTAATTGTTTATTGATTCTGAACAAGACTTATCCCCCCCTCCCTTTTCTCTCTCTCTCCCCCCTAGGTCCATTCATCTGTGCAACCTCACATTACATTTCTCATGAGGTGTATATTCTATAATACTGTGGACCTTCTGACAATTTTATACACCAAAATCCTTGCTATAGTAATTGGGTGGCTACAATTTTGCCATTTCTGTCACTATATATTTGCTTTGCCACCCCTAAGGTAAATGTTGCTGTCCACTCGAGTTAAACTCTTCTCCTGGAACTAACTGTGCAATCATGCCTATTTGTGCCAAAATCTCTCTCTCTCCTTTTTTTAGTTAATGTTGACACTGTTCTTTGTATTAACATAATATAGGTTTGGGAGAGATGATGCCTTTACAGCTATGGGAAACTACTTTAGATCCAGAAAGAAGGCAGTTAAAGCAATTAAAGGTAGAAGATGCAGCAGAAGCAAATGTTGTTTTTTCATCTCTTATGGGATCCCGGGTAAGCAGATCACACATAAAGCTTATGTTTGGGGCAGGTTATGCTTTTCTGAAACAGTTTGGATGTACGTAGCTTGTGAGTTGGATTGTAAAATGGGAGGCAAAATAAAAGTTTGATATTGGTCAGTTGACCTTGGGGTCTCTGGCTTTTGGGCAAATCTGTCGTAGCCTTCGTTTATGACTATGCTTCAAAATTTTGTGAGGGGCCAATTAACTTCATGATGAAGTTGTAAGCATGGTGTAATAGCTTATGCTTTCAAAGTTTTTCCTGTTGGGCCTTTTGATTGCTTAGTACTATCAAACTCTTGCCTGCCGAAGAGTAATTTCCTAAATACCAACCATGAATAAGCTTGCAAATCATGCAACTGACCATAATGTTCTAACATGCAGCCAGCTTGGTGAGTTTTGTCGTAGTCCCCTGTAGATCCTGTAATTCTTGCGTTATTGCCATCCAAAATACTCATTTTTGCATGCCTTTTCAGGTGGATTTTCGGAAGGAACTCATTCAGAACTCTGCTAGCATGATCAACCTTGACCAACTAGATATATAAACTGTTTATGAGATGCAGGAGCAAATTCTTTGAACTGTAAGCAATAGAAGGTTTCAATAGAATCATTTGAAGCAGAGGCTTCTATGGGTGCATCTTGTTTATTCTTCCATGATCCAATGCTTGCTACTATCTACCAGGGCATTCATCAACTCTATTCATTCTTACACATGGATCGTAGAGGTCGATGTTTCTGTTACAAGAGTTACAATGGTGATTTCCACAGGCTTGTGGTATAACTGTCCATCCTCTCCTCACCCACCACCAGCAATGGTCTTGTCCATCCCTTTCCCCCCTTCATGTTGCCCTAAAAATGCAACTGTTTTTGGTTTAAGTTAACGGGGTGCCAAAAATGTCTAAGGTTATGTTGGATTCTCTTACTGCAAATAGCTTGTTACCAATTAGTCAGCAAGAGATTAATGTCAATGTAACAGGTGGGACTCTTTTAAACAAACTATCTGCATCCTCACCTAATAGTTCAAGAAAAGATGTATTTGCATCTTTTATCTGTTGTAGTATGTATCCTTGGTTGTTCCTCCTTTCTTTTCTTCTATCTTGGTCATGCTACCGAAGACTTTGAGACGCCGTACTGAATATTAGTGCATTTTGATTTGTTATCCATTATTGAGAAGTATTGTGCATGTATAAGCAATTTATTGCTAGTAAAAAATGTACAGATAGTGTGTATACAATTGCATGCAAAATTCAAAAAAAATAAATAAAAATTTGTAGCTTACATACAAAATTTGTCCATCAGACTGTCTTTTATATGTGGGTTTTGCAGCTGAAATGAGTATTGGAATTGTGGTAACTAAGAAACAAAACAACAGTGAATAGATAGACCATAAGAGAGGAAAATATAATAAAAGAAAACAAGATCACAAGTGAGGGACTACATATAATTGCAACATTAGTAGGCGGGGAAAAGGATTCTAAAAATTTATATAGTTCAAGATGGTGGAAAATATGATAATTCATAATTTATCAGAATTCTGTTACAGAAATTTATGGCTGATTAAGTGAGTCGGGTTTGGCTCGGATAGGACTAGATCTTAACTCTTGTTTTAAATGAGTCGAGTTTGAACAATTTTTTTAATTTGTTTATATATAAAATAGTCAATTGAGCTCAGTTTATTTTTTAAATGTGTTGAATTTGAATAATTTTTTAAGTTTGTTTGGAAAAATGAGTTTGTAACGTTTAACTCGATTATTAACTCTAAACAGAATGATTGGGACATTGGTCATGTTTTTATTTTATTCTGTATTGTATCAGATAAATCAGAACTCTTCGATTCAAATCTTGTAGAACACCATCACTCACATTATTATAAATTGCGCAAAGAAATCAATGATTATTTAAAATAATTATATATTATAGAGTGTACCTATTCTGATTCTACTTTTACAATACACCTCCAACCGCATGGCATGTTTTGTCGGGCCAAAACAGATGATACACAATGTTAGATTTGTGGCCTAGAATACCACATTTAAATAGAACATAAAAATATGAATCACCACCAGATTGAATACCGTCGTACCTAAATCTGAATTCATGAAAATGATAATTACATATTTGAATTCAAATCATTGAACAAAAAATCAATCTATATCTGATTAATCAAATTCGGATTTGAATCAAAATTATAAGTTCCACCCACAATCTGACTGAGAAAACCTCCTTTTTCGAATCCGATCTCAACCCTAAACAGGATATCGATCGTCCAACGGCTTATATGTTGCCTTTTGATTCAGAGCTTACATGATTACACTATACGAATGATGTCACTTTTTTTTAACAGATTACTCAAGAAAATAGCAAGACCAACATGAATTATCTTAAGACTTGTTGAGCAAAAGCATGAAATTTTAAGACTCCAATAGCAGGAGAAACATCAAGAACATGAACACTGAAATGGTTTTACCTAGAATCAACTGATGCTAGTTGTGTACAGATAAATAAGAACCCAAACAAAACAACAGTAACCTTGGACGATGAGCATCTCTGCACCCAGATCATCTCAAAAGGACCCATTAAAAACCTCAATCCAGCAGATCTGACACCGCAGTTTTTCTAAATGGATCTACCAGGGCCAACTGCCCTGCCAATGCTTTATTTGGGAATACACTATCAGCCTTCATTCTCTCCCGGATTCCATATGCTGGAGCCTTAGCATTTATATAGGCCTGGATCAGACAATGGAACTGTCGGAGACGGGCTAGATACCCAACCTGTCTCATCCTATGGAACATCTTCTCAGAATTATGTACATCACCCCTCTTTGCATATTGGTCCATGATAGCAATATAAGAATTAAACATCGGCTTCATCTGGTTCTGCTGCGCAGCCTTCTGCAATATTGAATCGGCTTTTTCCACCTCTCCTGCTTCAATATAAAGCTTAACAAGCGCATCCCAAGTCAATGGCCCAATACGGCAACCACTATCGCCCATCTGCTTCACAAGATCCTTCCCCTTGGCCAGCATCTTATGATTTGCATAAACTTTAAGTAGCGCAGAATAATGCTTTGAAGAGAGCTTTTTCCATATTTTTTGCATCCTATCAAAGACTGCCTCTGCTTCTTCAATTTTCTTTAGCTTTCCCCACGCTTCAATAGCAGCCAAGCACTCTTCAAGGCGGGGATTAGATTCACAAACTTTCCAGACTCTCCCTACTTCATCAGCCCTTCCAAGACCTGCATAAAGAGGAAGCAAAGAATGGCAAGCCCACCGGTTGTCTTTCACATTGCCTCCTTCCATCTCTTTTAAAATAGCCTCAGCTTTTTCTCTGAGCCCGCCAGAGACATAGTGCCTAGCCAAGATGGCTTGTGTGTGGATGTCGGGTTCTATCCCCTCAGCCTTCATCGTCTCAACAATTTGATCCATCCCAGTTATGTCATTAGATTGGCCTTTGGTGTCGATTAAGATCTTGTAAGTGAAGAGAGATGGCTTGACATTTTCTTTCTCCATCAATAGCAGTACATCAGCAATTTTCTTCTTGTCAATCCTCTTATACAAAAGGAGCAACTGGTTGCAAGCAAAGGATGTAGTTGGGAATTCGAGGTCCTTCATTTTGTTGAACACCTCCTCTGCTTTCTTCACATTGCCGACAACAACACAATTAGCCAATAGAGTGCGGTAGATTACTTCCCCTCTGAAGGATTTTGGGATCTTCTCAATGTAGCTCTCTGCCTTCTGGATACCACGTACCTTGGCAATCAAATCAAGACGAGAAGCATAATCTCTCTCAACAAAGTCAACCCGCTTAGTTGACTCTAACCACTCAGAGAGCTGCAAAAGCAAAGAATTAGCTGAAAAGGGAAGGGGAAGGAGGAGGGGCAGAACAAAAACAAATCAACGCAAAGTGCCAAACCATTTCTTCAGTAAACTATGAGAAGGGGCATTTTGAGAATCTAATTTATAAACTACTAATGGTTCACGTTCCAAAGTAAGTTTAGGGTAATTACTCGCAAAGATAAAATGGAAAACAATTGGCCTGTATTTGCTAGGAACTCAATTAAACAGCAACAGGTTTGTTAAAGATGGCCACAATGAATCTTCTTCAGTAAAACAGAAATAACACTTGAAAAACTAGAGGAACTACGAAAGAAAAAAGCTAACAGTTTTCACCACTCGTCTATGAAGGAAAAAGCTAACAATAGCTGCCTGAAAATGCAACAGTAAAAGAAGACGCAGGCAGTAATATATGAGACATAGAAAGAAGCATCACAGAATCATAAAAATTGACTAAAGAATTAAAAGCAAGCAGTCATTGAAAATGTCAAATAAAACCTCTACGTTGACTTTTTTTGGGATGTTGATTATGGTGGTGGTTGACTGCTTTTCCAAGTACAGTATGTTTCAACCAAACAACAATTCTTCTTAAACAATCAAATCAATGTTTATCGAAAAGTCCAAACTTATTTTTACCAAACCTCCCTCAGTTACAACTCTAGAAGGTTAAGAATTCATCAATACCATTGCCTGTATAAAGAGTGAAATATTCAAGTTGCTGCATTAACCTTAAGGATGAATGTCGGCCTCTGTAATGGAGACCTATTTCTTAAATGGGAAAATCTTTTATCCTTCCGTGGTTGTTTGGGAACTCAAAAGTCCAATCAGCTAACAATTAAGCTGAATAGTTTTAAGTTCTCCACATTTGGTCAGATAACCGTGAACAGTAATTTCAGGGCTGAAGGTGTTATTTTTTGGAGGATTAGGGTCTGATTGATTGGAAGGGAAATGGTTAAGGGTTTGTAGCTAATGTTTAAGGATGTAAAGATGAGTATATCACATTTGGATTGAGTCTTTCATATTAAAACAATAAATAAGCACTGGGTCAGCTCAATGACTAAATGAGCCTACCAAACAAACTCAACATGATGAATCAGTAAAATCGCAACTCAAATCATTGTGTCATACAACCAAAAAATACCATCTAAGGGCAATCAACACTCATACTTTTAACACAGGCTAGTCATCGATCATCAAACAAATGATTGAATTCTCAGTTTGATCTACAAAAAAGAATGACATTCACAATGTTTAAACTGATTGTGGCTAAACACAAGACTATAATGCAAACCACAATAGAATCTACACAGTAATTTATTTGGAAATAACTATTTCATGGGGGCCAACTAGGAAATAAAACTAAATAACTTTATGGCAAAAACTAAATAGATTGAGCCAATTAAAAATTAAATGATAAACTATTAGCAAAAACACAAATGAAAGAAACAAAGCCTGATGAAAATAAGAAAAGAAAATTAATTCTTTATTATCTTACTTCCAAGCTGCACACAACAAAATTGAACTCCCAACCTTAGACCTAAAAAATAAAGAGGATGTATCTAACGTGATTGTTGAAGTAAGATAACCAACACGATAAAGCGTTTTCACAACGTGACAGAGCAAATATCAATTTGCACCACCATGTGGCTTAAGGACAGCTTCAAACAACATAAAGGTTGACAACCTTTTGTATTTCCATAGTGTATGCACATGAATCCCCCCTGGACACAGCATAATTAGTCTATCTACTAAAGTCTCCAGCCTAATGTCAATATAGATCAACTTGAACGTTAGACGCATATAATTAGAATCTCACTGACGCATGAATCAAGTATTCTTTTTTTCGTACATAAAACCCTACTACATCCACCTCTTTAAAGAAGTTAAGATATTGTCTCCGATAACTCAGGGAGATAAAAAGTTCTATAGCATGAAGTGTCAAGGACAATGCAATGGTAAGGAACCACATTGTACGAAGGAAAGGCCGAAGAAGATAATAGCTCTAAAAAATTAATTCCAGCATCAAATATCTGGTTTAGTCATAATGAAAGGGAGAATTTTTTCCAGAAAACTTTCAACAACTAGTTGACAAACACACAAAACAACAATCCTCAAAACTCAAGCAACTTGGTATTAATTTGTTGCAAATATCCTTGGAGTGACATATTTAATAGGTTGGTAGCATGTTAAATGGTGAGTGGTTGTACCATTGGTTCTTTACTTCTTTCTCTGTATCGTTCCAATTTTACCAGATGTCCCCGAAGGGACATACCATTTGTTCTTTCTAAATAGACTTTTTAAGCAGTTCTATTTCAAGTTTTTGCTAACTTTATCATCTACCTCACATCATGTTTTAAAGTATTAAAAATACAGGAAACACATGCATGTTGGTTCCCTAGGAAATGTGTGTGGATGCTTACTGCATAAGCAAGGGTTTAAGAATATAGAAATGATTTGACCAAAAAACTAAAAGCGCGTAAACACCTGCAAGGCTCTCCCGTACATCCGGCGCTTTCGAAGATTGAGCATGGCCAGCGCAATGTCCGCTCGGGTTACATCATTTCCTTCTTCAACCCACTTATCAAGAGAATTATGAATAGATATACCTGGAGCAGCCATTATAGCTTTGAACAATGCTGAAAAAGCTCTCTTTCTTGGAGACCTCTTCTCACTTACATCTGTCTCAGTTTCAGATAACTCCAGCTCATTTTGAGGTCCCTCAATATCAACATTGTTGTCTTCCTCTCCAGAGAGCTCAGGTTCGGAAACCAATTCATCGTCGTTTTCATCCTCCTCCTTGTCGGCCTGAATGGCATCAGCATTAACTGGAGTTTCAAGCTCAGAAAATCCATCCTCCAAGTCATCGTCTTCCTCTCCACTGCTTTTTGTGCCAGCCTGTGAAGAAAAACTGCACATCCCCCTAAAGGATCTTGGAGAGTCACTTGTAGTGTTGTAAAATCTATTCAAAAAGAGGGATCTATCAGAGTTTACATGCCGAGGTTCAAGAACACCTGCATTGTCCTCTAGACAGCTTAAAATTTCTAATTTAGCACAGCCAGTTCTAGAAGCTCTGACACCAATTCCTCGATACCTGAATACAGGAAATTAAAAAGTTCAGACGTGTGTGAGAGCAAAGAAAATAACCATTTTATTCACTTAAGGAACCCATTAAACATTTGAGGCAGCATTTTCCCTACTGATGAGGAGGAAGAAAAGGAAAATATTTGCAGATATCTTGGATAAGCAAAAGAAAGAAGCAGCAGATGAAATTTTTGCATTTCTAAGGATTTTGTAGCTTACTATGAGGCATGGATCATTAGAGAAGGGCAGTTAAAACCACTTCTAACCACTTTAATTGCTATATTAGACCCAAAAAAATAGAAACTAATTCAGATCATTCATTTTTATTCTCTGCAAATATTATTTTAACCAAGGGTTTTAGGAGCCAAAAACCACATGGTTTTCCATTTTTCGAGAATGTTTTATGAAAATTTCAGAAATGAAATATTCCTGGAACCATCAGAATACAGTCATTGACCACTTTTCCAGCATCTCACAAAAAAAGCAAAATGACTCCAATAGTTTCCTCAAAATTTTTACTAGAATCAGAATAATTCATTTGTCAAAGTTGAACTACCAACACCCAACATTCCTTGTGCATGTATAAACAAGAAAAGAAAATCCCTCACCTGACTGATACTGATACCCGTATGACAATATGGTTCACTGATACATTTTTCTCTTCATAAAATAGTACATGATTTAGGTAGTTAGCCCAAATAATTGAAAAGAGACTTCATTGAGTTGAGTGGTACTTAAAAATACAAAAACCAGAGATCTAACACCAAAGACTCAATTTTCTATTTTTCACACCACATATCCCAGCATCAAAATAGGGTGTATTCACCATATAACTAACCTTTGCAGATCAACTTTATGGGCCTGTGTCAATTGTATACAACTATACATGCCAGACAAGATTATCAAATACACCACATTTTTCATGTTTGTGACCCGTAAAAACAAAATACAAATAAATATATTGCTACATGGCTCAACTGAATTCAATTCTCTTCTCCCCTTCCATTTTTCAAAAAGACAAAAAAGAAGAAACATATGATCCATTTTCCACTTTCCTTTCTTTGTAGTCCAAAAGAATCAATAACCTTATATACTAAATGAGTTGGTGTATTTGAGTATTGACTCTCCTTGTTGGTACAGCTAGAGATGAGATTAAGCTTTCACCAGTCAAATGTACATGGTGAGGCATGCACTTCATTGACGTTAGTGCCTGTAGTTGGCCTATTTTGCTTAGTAGTTAAATGATGAAAGGGAAATCCAAGCCCCAAAACTCCACTCTCTTTTTTGGTTTCAGGTCAAAATTGCAAAGGAAATTTTTTTTCTTTTCTACGACTTTATCAGCAACGAAGAATAGTACATGTCCCTAATAAGTCCATGCAACACATTTCAGAAGACTCCGTTTTTAAAACTGAACCAAAAACACAATAGATTTTTTTTCCTTCATGAACATACAAAACCACGCAACAAAATTAAAATGCTCGGCAATCAAAACCCCTCTCCTTCAATACAAGATATAAAAATGTGATCCCAATCAAACAATCCAAAAACACAACCACATAATAAAACATAGACACCAATAACATCACAATTATACGACTATTTGGACAGATTGAGCTGAGTATTTTCTTCATTATAGAACTCGTATGAGACTCAGTACCCAAAAATTTGCTTTCTATCCACTTTGTCATCAAATCAATCAGGGTACATGCAAACAAATAATCAAAATCCCCACCACCAAAACAAAATGTTTACGTTGACCACGATTGATAATTTAAAAAATACCTAAAATGCAGCAAAACAAAGAAATAAGATGGTGGCTTGGTTTGCTAATATCTATATGAGCACCCACCCACCCACTCACACACACACACACACACACACACACACTGCTCCACCGAATTCTGCCCAACAACTAGGTTCATAAAATCCAACGCTCAATTATCCTCTCTTTTGACCAACTTTCTCAACAACCAAACAAAACACAACTGACCCATTAATCAAAAGTCTCATCATCAATACGAAGAGTAATCATAATCGATCCTTGAATTGGACCAAAAACATAACAACATGGAGAAATGAGATTATGATATGTTTGTTTGAGAATTAACATTACAGACACTACCACACATAAAGACAATAAGTGATCGTTTAACAAAGACCCAAACTAAACTAAAACAGCGAAATGGGTAATGGGTCTGTGTCTAAATGTTTTAATCGCACACACTCGTTTAAATTAGAACCCAAATGTAGCAAACAACGAAAGGAGATGTGCGTCTGTCTGTATATGCTTGTGTAAGTAGAAACACACACTCGAGCACGTATGTATATATACACACATACACACGTACATACAGAGAGCGAGATAGAGAATTACTTCAAAGTCCTAGAGGTTCGAAGAAGTGCCCACATGGTGAAATGAGAACTCCGAACTTTTTTATCGAAAACCTGAAAAGAGAAGTGGAAGTGGAAGTGAAAGAGAAAATGGTGAGAGAACAGACTGGCCAGTAGTCTTAAACCCTAAAAACCCTTTTCCTTTTCTTTTCTTTTTTTTTTTTCTCCTCAGCAAACCCTAAATATGGGAAGTGTGAGGTGAAAGGTAGCAAAATCTCATATACATCCCCAGGGTTTTACATAATGCCAATTGCATCTCTGGAAGTTTTTTTTTTTTTTTTTGTTATACGGGAATATTTCGTGGCTTATCTTTAATGAGTAGAAGCGCACTTATGTCACTTAGGCTTGTGAATCTAAGTAAAGAACCAAGGGTAAAGTCGAAGTATATGAATCGGTCCCTCAATTCATACACTATTTAAATCAGGATTTGCGCTTTATTGGGAATTCAAAACCCACACCAAAGACTTAAATATGATTCATCCAAAAAATTAAGATCTTGTCTTATCGGGCAACCAAGTTGTTGTGCCCAAGGACTACGAACCCCTGATCTCCAAGAGAGAAGCCAGAGGCTCTGGCCAACTGGGCTACCCCAGTTGGTTAAGCAAAAAGTTATTTGCGCCCAAAACATGAAAAAATATTTGGTGTAATCGTTACACCATATTAATATTATCATGTGGTGTAATTATTCAATAAAAAATAAATAAATCAACATGTAAGCCCCATTAAAAATAATAATTACTCAACCATGTCATACATATCTATGTCCATGGTAGGTAGTGTGCCTAATTTAATCCAATTTGTTAATTTTTTACTGGACCGTTATACCACCTTAGTGACACGATTTACCGGTTACGCTAAATATTTACTCGCGAAAAACCACGCCATCAAATAAAAAACTAAAATTCAGATTAAAAAAAAATTCAGTACCAATAATTATGGGACAAAGCATCACATTTGTTGTTTTGAACAACGTTGTCATCTTTTTGTCTGATTTGAAGGTACAATCTTAAATTTTTAAAATATAAATTGAGAATATGGAGATTTTTTAGGATGCAGAGTATGATTTACTTGAAAATTTAGGAATTATTCAATGGTTAAGTCCTTTGTTTTATAATTGATTGGGTAAATCTGGTGAATGCCCTATGAACTATGACATTTGTCTGCAAATCATTGTAAGTCGTCTATCCAACAACTTCCAAGTTCCAACCAATTTCTTCAAATGGTGGTTCTAATCGGAGCCTGTTAGTTGCTCAGACGAATAGCAATCAAGCCCCAGATAGCAAGCCCGAGGCCTGGCGATCATCATCTCAGGTATTTTCTTATTGTTACTCTCTCTCTCTCGCTCTCCAGATTTAACTTTGTCTTGTGGTTGGGGATTGGATTATTTTTGACAAAGCTAGGGTTTTTTTTTTTTCTATCAAGGCAGTGATTTGATGGAGAAGAAAATGGATGAATTGAACAAAACGAATTCTTTTTGGGCAATTTGAGTTATTGTTTATTTTACTATTTGGCATCTTGCTTTATTGCAATCAATTTTTGCTCTCTGTGGAATGCTATAATGGTAATTGAGCTATGATGCATGTTAATTGAGCTTTATTAGCTTAATTTAGTGATATGCTGGGGGTATCACAGGGGGAAGAGTGAGATAGAGTAGCGCAGTGAGTTTATGATGGCTGTGGTGGTGATGCAGTGAACTCGGGTTCAACCCAGTCGGGAATTCAAGCATGCGGTTGAAGGACTCAGGTTTGGGCAGTATTTGGGTTGAGGGGATCATGTATTGGATGAAGTTAGGTTGACCCTTCAATCTGTCCTACCAGCCTGAGCACCCCTACCTTCAAGGGGGTAAAGCTGATAACCAAATTAACCCTATGGGTTTTAGACTCCCATCCTACACACCATTCAACCCCATTGTTTCTAGCTTCAGTGTAAAGTGCAAATCCACCCACCTTACCTCTCCTTGGCAAGAACAAGAGAATGTTGGTCAAACCTAGCCTGAGAGAGAGAAACTGATGGAGTCTCTCGCAAACCTATTTTTGCTTATTGCATAGAAATTCCTATGCAACAAGGTTTGATTATCTTCATGAAACACTAGAATTTTACTCATTTATTTAAATGGAAGAGATTAAGTTTCTCTTGGTTGTTCCATTTGGTTCATGGCTTTAGTGAAGTACAGGAAATACAAATGCCAAGAAAAAGCAAAGGAAATATGACTTCCCTTGTGTTTTCTCTCCAGGTTGACTAATATTAAGAATTAAATTTTTTTGAAAGTTGATTGGAGATCATGAAAAAGGAATACAAAGTAACGCTTTCAACTCAAAATTTTTTCTTTTACTTGCTTATTTACCCTTTTCCTTCTATTTTTGATGGCAGTCAGGCAAGAGAATATTCCCTTTGACATATTATTTTCCTTTCCGTAATGGATTCCGAGATATGAATGTTGTGAATTGCATTACGTTTTATGGTCGAGAAAGTATTAAGTAAACATTTGATGTGAATCTATTGAACAATAGTCGTGATTTTGTTCTTTTGTTGGGTTACTCAGTACTTATAGACACCATATTTAGGCTATAAATGTGGATTGGGTTGGTTTTCTTACATCCAGTTAAAGTGTTGGGTAATTTGACATCCATTTTAGGGATTAATGTTGTTTTGTGCCATAGAATTTAGTTTGAAATATCATTATTTAGGCGGGTGTAGCAGTAGCAATTGTTATATAGGTCTTCCTCGTCCTGGAGATGTCAAAAAGGAGCAATAAACTTTTTAACTAAAAAAAAAAAGGAGTAAGAAACTCCCTCTTATGATTCCTATAGGAATCATTATAAGTCTAAGTTGACCCCAACCCCTCTCTCTCTCTCTCTCTCTCTCTCTCTCTCTCATATATGATGCTCATACACCTCTTGAATATTTCACAAACTTCTTTTTTGAGAAGTCAAGTGTGTCACAATTTTACTGTTATGGGATATTGGTTTTGTCAGGTGCTAGACAATATGGATTCAAATTTGCTGTCTTCAACCTCTAGTGGCGCTGATGTGAAGGCAGATTTCCGCAAGCCTTTAAGTGATGCAGCTAACAGGAAATATCGGCGACGGTCTCCACTTAGTGGGTCATCTTCATCTGATGGTTTGTTTTTGATTTGGATTCTTAATTTCAAGATTTGGTTTAGAAACATAATCTTGGAGTGCATCAAATATTCAGATTGTGGCCAAGCTGGTAGTATAGTTGGTGTGTGACCATTTTCATTTTGTTACTGCTTGAATGTGATCTCAATGGGGTTGCATCACATATTTCTTCTGCTATATGCAGGTAGTCCTAATCATGAGCATAACTCTAGTCCTATCCCATCAAGGGAACATGATCGACGAAGAAAGGATGATGAGAGGGACTTAGATCGGGATTCTGGTAGGAGTCAGTATAGGCGGAGTGGTGACTCGTATAGACATTTTGATCGACAGTTGTTTAGGAGTTCTCAAAGTTACCGTAGGCATGATGACTATAGCAGACGTGAAAAGAATGCGGATGACAATGAAAGAGATTCACATTTTTCCTCTCGTTCTGGTCGAGAGTCGAGGGGTGGCACTAATTCTGATTATATGAGGCGAGAAAGGGAGCATAGCAGACCAAGAGACCATCTGCGTGATGTTGAGAAGCATTCCGTTGGTAAGTTTGATGGTTCAGGGCATAGAAGCAGGGATAAGGACAGAGAAATCTCATCTCTTGAGTATCGAAGATGTAAAGATAAGGAACCACTGTCTGACAGTGACCGGTCTGGTAGGAGGCATTCCAACTCCAACACTGATTATGTCAAATCTGAGGAGTGGGATAGGCATAAGGGGGATAGAGATGGTCGAAATGAGAAGAGAGACCACTGTATGAGCTTGGGGGATTACAGAAGTGATCGTTCACCTACCCATGGAGAGTACAAGGGGCATCAAACTGACTCGCCTGCAAGAAGGGACAGTTCTGGACGTCGTCTGAAAGAGGCTTCTAGGATTGACACTAAGGAACTGGATGGACATAAGTACCAAAAAGAAGAAACGAAAAAATATGATGATCGGGAGGCTAACAGGCAAAAGGAGAGGTACAATAGAGAAGCAGGGGAGCAATTGGAAGACAGAACTGTTTTTACCAGTAAAGATCAAGAATCTCTAGCCAATAAGTCAATGTTGTTTGGCTCGGATGGTGGCACTGATCATGGGAAAGATGGTAATTGTCGTATTATGTTCTGTAACTCTATTTGTCCTATACTTTCTTTAGAATATTTTTCTTATTGTGTTTATAACCATGCATTATTGATATGACAGTGGTTGATGAAAGGCAGTCTTTGAGTTCAAAGCAAGTGCAGGAGAGTGTTGGTAAAGTGACTTCGGAGCGGACCTATGTCACTGACTCTGATATAGATGCTGCAAAAGTTGCTGCAATGAAAGCTGCTGAATTAGGTATGCAACTACTGCATATAATTACAGTTATAAGTGGTGATCTTAGCATTGTTAAATTCCCAAGTTAAGAGTAACTTGGGAAATTTGGTTCTTAGCATCTGTTGGAATCTTAACAGCCTCAGTTACACCCCCAAAGAAATTTTTTTGTCCCTTATGCCTAGTAGCTGTAATTATCAAGGGTCAATTTCAAAGTAATAGATCTGAATTTCCACTTGGCATAGCCTTAAGTACAATGACATAGACCAATCTTAATCTAGGATCCAAGTAGCTTAAAATTTTCTTCAGTTTTTGAAAATTTTGGGGCTTGTCCGATTTTTTTGAAAACTTTGTGGCTACTTTGGAATTTTTGAAAATCAGGGGTTTGGGAATTTTTGAGGCTTTAGTGTTGATTCTGGAATTTAAGAAGCTCTGAGGGTAATCCTGAAATTTTAGGAACTTTTGGGTTTTTTATATATTGGAGTATCTGGGGCCTCTCTAGAATATCAAACGTTTTTTTGGTGGGTCGGGCTAAATTTTGGTGGGGGTTATAAGCCTGAATTTGTAGGTCAGACTTCGGTCAGTTTAAGTAGAGTCGGGCCAATCCTAAAAGATTTAAAGATGAACAAATAGTAAGGTTTCTTAGCACAATCTTTGGTCACCAACTTTGAGCTCCAGCTTCCAAGTTTTGTCACAACAGGAAAAAAAAAAAAAAGTAGTAAGTGACTGTGTTGATCAGTGGTTAGGCTCTGGCCAGGGGCGGAGCTAGAATGTTTTTGTAGTGGGGGCAAAAATCATAATGAAAACCAATCAACCGAGATAATATATTTTGAAACATAATTTGTTCCAGTCAAATATCAGAATCTAATTTTCAAGAAAGCAAAAATTAAGAATTTAATTATTGAGAGAACACTGTCCAAGAGACAAAATCAAAGAGAACGGTCACATAAATGATAACTATCAAACTCGTTGCTATTTCACAAATAGATTTCGAGTGGTTATAATCGGTGACATGGTGTGTAGGAAAAAAGAAAATTAGAGATAAAAAAGACGACAATGAATTGTATAAAAGAAACATAAATTTAAAATTTTAATTTGTGAAAGAATCCAATTTTTTACTAATAAGGAATAGTGCTATTGGGGTCTAAAAATCTATCCTAAATTGTTGACCTAATGACGCGACAACAGAGATGTTAAAATAGTATTACTCTAATTAGAACATTTGGATTTATTTTTTGAGGCCACACCATTAGCACATTATTAGGTCAGTCAATTAGTTTAGATTTTTAGACCCAAAAGTGTTATTGAAATATAGAAATAGAGATAAAATTATACAAATTTTTAGTGGGGGCAAATTTTAAATAATTATAAATTTATAAACATTTCAAAACTATCCCAAAAAAATTTCTAAAGTGCACCGGGGGCAGTTGCCCCCACTGCCAAATCCGCCACTGGCTCCGGCGAGGTTTGACATTGCTGTGCAATGAGGGAAATGGCTGTGGTGATTCCATACTTTCCAAATCCAAGCGGTAGCCTACAACAATGGACCTCAATCGGGAACATGTTTGAACCTTTTGAACCAGTTCAAGTTCTTCCATGACAGGCAATGACTACGATGGTGAGACTCAAGGCAACGGCGATATATTGAACAGCTATTTTGGCACTGATGGATGAACAATCACCTGGATTTTTTTCGAGATGTGGGGATGTAATTGATATGGATTTGAGGATTGAGAGGGAGAAAAAGCAGCGTTCAATTTGCGATTGGAAGAAGGTGAATCAATTTGGGGAAATAGTGACGATTGTGTGCAACAGTGGATCAATATTTGCTTTGATAGCATGAAAACCTAGATTAAGTATTAAAGAAAAAGAGAGGAAAGAAAGTTGTCAGCTACTCTCTAATATTCCATTGTATGAAAAATAGGATATAAGAGAGGAAATAAATAAATCTCTACAAGAAGAAAAAACTAGGCTATCCCTAGTGAAATAAACAGAAATAATGAATACAATCCTAACAAGGCCATCCAAATAGGGCTGTGGATTTGAGACCAAGAATTTCAAAATCCTTGGAGCCAAATCCTAAAGTAGCGAGGAATTATTTGTTTTGTGTGGTCATATGAGATGTTTGATAAAGGGAATCACTGAGTGCCACATAATCATAAGCGTGCTGTAGTATGTTCTGCTGTAGTAGCAGATATGGAGGTATTGTGTTGTGCATTCTGTCAAGGAAAAATACCTTTTGGCCAACATGCCTTTAAGCTGCAATTTGGATAAGCCTATTGAAGACCATATTCCATGTCCTATTTGTGCTGGTAAACAACTTACTCAATACGAACATATTGAAAATATGCAAATAAGCATTGAAACTATGTACAATCAATGGGGATGTTCCACTTTGCAGACTATGTTTCAAAGAGAGGAAGATAACCATCTCCCCCCCCCCCCTCTTTCTCTTCTCTCTCGGTTGAATGGGAATGGGAGGAAAGGATGAGGGTATGTATTGCAGTCCGGTTGAGCAAATTTGAATCATTGGGGGAAGTCATTAGGGGAGCTTATGTTATTTATTAAGTATTTAAGTTAGAGAAGCATGAAGTGATTTGACTAAAAAGAAGAAAGAGTAGTTGATTGTGATGGAGAATATAACAATGTATGTTAAAATATGGAACACATAACATGAAGAGTGCATTTACATACCTTCCGAAAAGAAGAACTAGAGTGCATTTACATGTCTAGAACCCTGCTTTTAAATGTGCTATGTGTACAAGTGACGTAATGTAGAGAAAAAAATATATATATAAAGCTAGTGAACTGAAATTGATCTTTTGCTCATTAGTGACTTTGTTTGGCCACTTGTTAAGGCATAAGGGTCAGTTTGAACAGCCCTAGTTTGTCTTTGTTTCAAGCTGCAAATCACACCCTTTTTTGTCTCAACGCATACTCTTTGAATTAGTGACACTGAGGATAGCGATTAGTTGTAATCATATCTTTTACCCCAGAATTCAATTCATCCAAACAACCAATAAGAATAGCATGCATGTTCAAGAAAAATTTGACAGAGAGAACATGCAAAGCAAGTTCAAGAAATGGAATGAACCTTTTCTAATAATATCCCCAAAATACTCTTACCTTTGCTATGGATGCCTTTTTCTTTTGTTCGGATAATGAATGAAACTTCTTGAAGAAATACATGAAGAAAGTTTTTTGAAATGGGAGCGGAGTGGTTGAGATGAGAAACAACGAGTAGAAGGTGAGAGAATTAGAGACACAAAATGAGACAGGTCTCTTAGGGATTCACATCTTTGTTTTAACTAGGCATTTTTAGATGATTACAAAGAGTGGAATTTGAAACATGAAAATGATTTTTGGAGGATGCACAACATTATCGTGTTGGTTGTTGGTGACATGGGCATTTTATCTTACTCAATTTATAACATCTAGATATTATATATTGACTTTAAAAATTGATTGAGGATAAAAATGGAAATCAAGATTTTTTCCTGTTAGGTGACATTTGCAAGTAATAAAGATTAAGTATACACTCACGCACATAGCCATTCAAATTTGTATTTCCATATTTGTTAAGGGTATCAGGGAATGCATTAGCATAGATGTGCTTTTCTACTTGTTATTGGTTATTTGAACAGGGAGAATTGGTGCTTTTGGTTTTCCAAGTGCATTTTAATACTTTTTTCTTTTCCAAACATTGAAGGTTTAAAATGGTCACTCCAACCTTCAGATATGTTCTATATCACTATCCTTCTTGTAGTAGCTCCATGGCACTTATAGTGCATATTTGTTTTCATTTTTTTCACATGATGTGCTTTAAGGAATGGGTCACTGCCAAGGTTAAAGGCGTTCCTGCCGGTATAGATCAATACTGCACTGGCTAAAATTTTTTGGTTACTGGGCAGCATTCATACACTTTATTTAGATGAATCTGCCATTCTAGAAGGCAGGGGTTTGTATGTCTGAAGTTTTGCCTGCTAGAATAAACTCGAATTGTTCTGTCTTTTCACTTGTGTGGCAAATACAGTGTTCTTTTCTTAAACAATTCTTCGATTTTCATTGACTTTTGCATGGATCTATCCCAAGTTGACCATGGAGTTTGTTTTTCTTGTACGAATTGAATAATACAGAGATGGCCTATTTTTGCATATTTCATTGTTCATGATATAATGTAATCTTTGCTTGAACATTGTAAGATTGAGTAATTCAGTAACCTACCCAACTAACCAACGCTGTTGGAGGATTACTTTTAGGATTTCATGGGATGGCATGATGACTAATTAGTAGCTGGTCATATACCGTTGTTTCAATGTCTAAGGTGTTTCTATGGTTCCACCCTGGTGTTGTGCCAGAAGAAATGGGCTGTTTCCATTCATATCATAATATGCCAATGTAAATGCAGCTTAAATAAGTTGTGTTTCTTTGAAACTAATACTAGTTACCTGTTACAATCCATATACGTACCTCATCTGGATTTTGTTTTTTCCTTGGGGGGTAAAACACAGTTAATAGGAACCTTATTGGTACTGGCTACATGTCAACCGACCAAAAGAAGAAGCTGTTATGGGGGAGTAAAAAGAGCACCACCGCTGAAGAGGTATTTCTTGAAAGACGCTTTCTTTTCAACTTATGATTACCTTTTCTTTTCATGGTTTGATATCTTAATGCCCTAGTACTCTGTAACTCAACCCTTAGGTGGACAATTATACGGAAATGAGATTCCATGTGTATTGGTTCCTAATTGATATAACTCAATCTAACTTAACAAAGTCTTGTTCTAATATTTTTTGAGTGGTTCTTGATTAATAAACATAAGAAAATTAACGATAATTTAATATCGCGAATAATTTAATTATTAGGTCATATTAGAGGGTGGCAATATGTAGGTTGAAGCACCACAAAACCTTTGTGAATCGGATATGCCCAAATCATTTGGATGATCAACTAGGACCTATCTTACTACTTTTACACGTGTAATGCTGCTTAACAAAGACAAATGTTCCGTCCATCTAATCATGAGGCTCTTCTTTTGAATTGTACTGCAGTCTATCAGTAGCTTTCTGTTATTTACCATCTTTTACTCTTATTTCTGTTGTTCAATGCCTCTTCAAACGTGATAGTCTGCTCATCACTGGGATACGACACTTTTTGGTGATCGCGAGCGACAAGATAAATTCAACAAACTCATGGTAATTCACATTCCCTTTATTTATTCTACTTTAATATTCGTTGGCAAAATTGAAATGTTGGAACTGTTTTTTTTTCCGGGTACGTAATGTCGCAACCTTGTTGATTGCTTCTGATTGACTTGTTATCTCACTTAGTATTTCTTCCCACATACTAACACACTTCTAGAGTCTGAGGTTGCCTTGGTACCTATGGCCAATTGTAGGGTGTGAAGGGCGATATAAAAATGGAGCAGAAACCCGACAACCCAAATGGCAGTGGCCTCCTACAGGCCGAGAAGCAAAAGGAACTCCAACTGGATTTGGAAAAGCAATACACTGCTGGACTCCGTCGAAGAGATGGCCGCACTGTTGGACTAGGTCTTTGAGAACCTACTTGCAATATTGTTGTACTTGTATGACAGCATTTAGCAACATTTTGGTGAACTATCGTGCGAGAAGTACTTTTATGATCTTTTACATTGGCTGTGTTAGGGAAGAATATGATTTATTATTGAATTTTTGTTATAATGCCAAAAAACCGTGTTGGCGGAGGTGTGGTTTTTATTTAATATCTTGTTTTGGGCGTCTGCAAGGATAAAAATTTGGTTTCATTATCACTTTTGTGGGTGATTTACCACATTTGTGGTTGTTTTTTATCACTCTCTTTTTTCCGATACCGTAGTCAAGGTCTAATCAAATATGTCTTTAGGTCGAAATGACATTAAATGGCCCTCCAACCACCTCATTTTCATATCCTCCCAACCAAAACTGCCATTAACATAACCAGATCACATAAAGCATTGAGAAAACATCAAGTATCTAGGAGTACCATGGTTATGTAGTCATAGTTAAAGGGTACGTTATATGATTAACCAAAAAAGAAAACAAGAAACTCACAATTTTTTATATTATTTTAACTTAGAGATTTAGGACAATTAAGTTGCTCGAAGTAGTTCAGTGATCGAATCAAAGACTAGACATAAATTTGTACGTCATGAGTTGGAGTCTCTCTCACCAAAATAATATTTTGATTCAACAAATCTTATGATTTGTGAGTGGTTGCGTGTATTCAAAATTTACGTTACCCAAAAAACACATATGATTCCATTTCTATGGGTTTAAGTGGATTGACGCATGCTGATGAAGCTTAAAATTACTACACAAGGTTTGTACTTTGTAGTGTCACTTCCATCAACTTTAGGTGACCTAAGTATAACTACCTTAGCACCACTTGCAGGTGTACTGGTTGGTTGGTTTGTTTGTTGCACAAACCCAACATACAAACATAACAAACAGTTTAGATTTGTCATTTTACTCTTATTTGACTGAATTAAAATATATATAAAAATGGACAAATATGAAATTTTACTCTTAATGTAAATTTGTCAATGTTTTACATTATTCATATAAGCATAACAATTTTTTTTTACTTGTTCTAGGTTTGATCATTTACATATAGTTCAAGAAAATTCACTGGAACATTGGGGATTTTTTATATCCAAATTACAATAATACAGCAATTCATAGGTCCTGGCCAACTCGGTAAATGATAGTGTTACAATAGATTTTGGTGGACATCAGGACATGTGAAAGTAATCGAGAAATGGCGATGAGTACTAATTTGTCCAAATGATACATCGTGAATTTGAGTCTATGAAATTAACCTCTAGAAAAATAAGAGGTAAATGCCTAACATTTACATTTCTCAGACTTTGTTATAAGCGGCAGCCTATATAGTTATTCTTTCTTGTATATTTTGATTGAAAATATTTGAGAATTTTACTTAACATGAAAGAAAAAGTCATAGCTACATAAGAATAAATGCATCCAAATGATAATGTGCATTAGGGTTTTGGTAGATTGGTCACTGCTCTATACACCACCAATATGTCAGATAAGGAAGAGATGAATACAAAGATTAAACGTGCATTTTGCACCCGAATCAACATTTAACTTTGGGTTTGTAAACTCTATAACTTAAACTATAATCCGTGTCTCTGTCCCGCCCGAGATTATGCCAATTATTTGTTGTGTGCGTATTGCGTATTCAAAATATGAGGTAAAGAGATATGAGTACGAGCTTCATAACTTCTAGACAAGGGGATTCATATAGGCCAATAAATGCTACTCAAAAGCCTTAGTTATTCTACAGTATAGTCCTCAACTGTCTTTCATAAGATTCGTATAGTCCACCCTCAAAAGAACTCTGATGATGCACAAAATGACTTTGCACATCACCTGTCAAGTAATTGAAAATAAATGTGGTAATTTAAGGTAAAAAGAGTTAGAGGAGATGAGATTTATAGTGGTTCGGTCAATGTGATTTACGTCCACTTTTGAATGGCCTTGGTCGCCTGATACTTTATTAGCTCAAGGGTGCAGGGAGCAGAGATTACAAGCTTAGAGTGAGAGGAGAGAATCGTGCTCAACAGAGTGAGATATGCCCCCCAAGTGTTGATGGGACTTACAATTTATAGTCACTCTTCTAACAGGTTTGGGCAAGATATTAATAAGTAGTTGACTAGTTTGTTGGATCTGGCGAGCTCTTCTCAACGTGCTAGGCAGTTGCGGTGCTCTCTATGAGATTCGGTCAAATGATGACATGAGTGTTAAATCCTTCAAAGGGAAAGAGAATAAAGCTTTTGGATGACCCTGCATGCTCCAAGGTGGCAGAGGAGGAAGGCTGGGTGCCTGAGGTGGAGAGCTGGGCGTCTGCGGAGGAGAGTTGGGTGCCTGCGGAGGAGAGCTGGGCGCCTGCTGATGGCCTTGCATGCTCCTTTACTGATGTAACTCGTGGAACTTGATGAACTTGACCGGGTGCAGACTCCTTTGAGCTTGGCAAACTGGACCTCTTGAAATTGGGTCTTTGGACTTTTAACATGAGTTAAACTTTTGGGTTTGACTCATCAAGCTCCACTTTTAGTAAGAAGTGATTGACTTATTTGGAAGCAATGCGAACACCTCCCTCCTTATACAAAAATATATATTTATCCTTTTTCATTTATTTTTTTGGTCACATATTTATCTTTTTGTTGGATTTTGTTTCAAGTTTCATAGTTTTTTTTTGGACAAATCATTGCCTTTTTATAACTTTATGCTGCTTTTACAATAGTTTATTACGCATTTCCCAATTTATCGTAGTTTTCATAAAAATGTGGTTTAAACCCACTCATTTCAATATAAAAACTTATTTTAAACCACGAATCCAATGTTTTCTAGTGAAAGTGTGTTTTGTAAATATTCTTTTACATTAAAAATGGTGAGTTTAAACCAAACTCGTGTGAGAAATAATGTAAATCGGAAAAATAAGTTAAAAACTAACATAAAAGGGAAATAAAATTATAAAATGACTTTTAGGTTGGAAATTGATTCTAGAATTTCATAGCATAAAAAGTGGATCTATTTAGCATAGAGGTGGAGAACACAACATAGAACTTTATGGGGTCACATTGGAAATATTTTTTTTTTGAACAAGGTAAGGTGCAGTCCTCATAGACTCCTTTTGTTTTTGTCGCCCAATGGCATATACTAATTGAGTGAATGACACTTTGTAACTAAAAGATCTTTAAGTTCTCATATTGTATTCCCAATCAGATACAAAGGTCATAGTGTAATTCAAAATCAAAATTTGTTACTTTATCCGATAAAATTTTTATGTTGTATTTGTTATTTTTTTTGTTATACACAATTAGTTGCACATTACACAATTTCAAGCATTTTATTGGAAAATTTGGTTCTCGATTTTATTAAAATGGACCACATTACTATTTTTTTTATTTGATTGATGAGAATTTTAATCTTTGATGATGCAAATTAAAAATTTAAATAATATTTTAAACTACAAAATATCGGTTGCCCCTACTTATTGACACAATCACTTGAAGAATTAAGGGAAAATCCGACATTTAAGTTTGTTAAACGTGGGTAAAAGGAGCAAAAATGCAGGCAATGTTCTTTAGCAAAGTTTGTGCGACGCTTTTCATAAACGACGGCTAAATTGGCGTCGGAAAAAACTCGACATTTAATTACATGCCAGAAATTAGTGACATTTATTAGCTGAAAATTAGTGATTAATTTAAATTAGTTAGGAATTAGTGACGCTGGTAATTAGTGGNTATGAGATTCGGTCAAATGATGACATGAGTGTTAAATCCTTCAAAGGGAAAGAGAATAAAGCTTTTGGATGACCCTGCATGCTCCAAGGTGGCAGAGGAGGAAGGCTGGGTGCCTGAGGTGGAGAGCTGGGCGTCTGCGGAGGAGAGTTGGGTGCCTGCGGAGGAGAGCTGGGCGCCTGCTGATGGCCTTGCATGCTCCTTTACTGATGTAACTCGTGGAACTTGATGAACTTGACCGGGTGCAGACTCCTTTGAGCTTGGCAAACTGGACCTCTTGAAATTGGGTCTTTGGACTTTTAACATGAGTTAAACTTTTGGGTTTGACTCATCAAGCTCCACTTTTAGTAAGAAGTGATTGACTTATTTGGAAGCAATGCGAACACCTCCCTCCTTATACAAAAATATATATTTATCCTTTTTCATTTATTTTTTTGGTCACATATTTATCTTTTTGTTGGATTTTGTTTCAAGTTTCATAGTTTTTTTTTGGACAAATCATTGCCTTTTTATAACTTTATGCTGCTTTTACAATAGTTTATTACGCATTTCCCAATTTATCGTAGTTTTCATAAAAATGTGGTTTAAACCCACTCATTTCAATATAAAAACTTATTTTAAACCACGAATCCAATGTTTTCTAGTGAAAGTGTGTTTTGTAAATATTCTTTTACATTAAAAATGGTGAGTTTAAACCAAACTCGTGTGAGAAATAATGTAAATCGGAAAAATAAGTTAAAAACTAACATAAAAGGGAAATAAAATTATAAAATGACTTTTAGGTTGGAAATTGATTCTAGAATTTCATAGCATAAAAAGTGGATCTATTTAGCATAGAGGTGGAGAACACAACATAGAACTTTATGGGGTCACATTGGAAATATTTTTTTTTTGAACAAGGTAAGGTGCAGTCCTCATAGACTCCTTTTGTTTTTGTCGCCCAATGGCATATACTAATTGAGTGAATGACACTTTGTAACTAAAAGATCTTTAAGTTCTCATATTGTATTCCCAATCAGATACAAAGGTCATAGTGTAATTCAAAATCAAAATTTGTTACTTTATCCGATAAAATTTTTATGTTGTATTTGTTATTTTTTTTGTTATACACAATTAGTTGCACATTACACAATTTCAAGCATTTTATTGGAAAATTTGGTTCTCGATTTTATTAAAATGGACCACATTACTATTTTTTTTATTTGATTGATGAGAATTTTAATCTTTGATGATGCAAATTAAAAATTTAAATAATATTTTAAACTACAAAATATCGGTTGCCCCTACTTATTGACACAATCACTTGAAGAATTAAGGGAAAATCCGACATTTAAGTTTGTTAAACGTGGGTAAAAGGAGCAAAAATGCAGGCAATGTTCTTTAGCAAAGTTTGTGCGACGCTTTTCATAAACGACGGCTAAATTGGCGTCGGAAAAAACTCGACATTTAATTACATGCCAGAAATTAGTGACATTTATTAGCTGAAAATTAGTGATTAATTTAAATTAGTTAGGAATTAGTGACGCTGGTAATTAGTGGCATTTATTAAACATTGAGAATTAGGAACGGCCATTACAACAAACGCCGAGATTGAACGCGGACTATCACTGCTTTTCTTATAGTGAATAAACACTCACATTCTCATCCTCTGGCCTGTCGTTAGATTGTCTGCCATCTCATTTTCTAATGGTGGGGTTTTGGAGTTAGGTGGAGGTTTAAGTATAGTCAGGTGGCCTTTCCTGGCATTGTGACAATCACCTTTTACAATATATTTTATAAACACGCTTTTACATTAAAGAGCATAGCTTGGACATAAATTTACATATAAAGACACTATGGGAAATTAGATAGAAATCATAATATTTGGAAAAAAAATTCCAAAATCATGGTAAGTTGCTAAAAATTCCACCAAAAAAGTGAAGTGTCTCTTTGAAATCCATAAAGCACTTCAATCCTAGGACATGATTACAGACGAAGTTTGGATGAGCTAGAGAAGATCCACTTTGACTTCATCCTCGTAATTTTTTTTTGGTTCAACAATTAGGGGTCTATTTGAGTCGGTTTACGTTCACTTCAATTAAATCTTTCCTCGGTCCAATTAAATATAGGACATTTATGTCGGGATTAAGGTATTCATAACGCTAAATCACTCATCACCTGATCCAAAGAAATTACCAAAATTTAAATTCAAAACATATGTATTTATAGTTCGTCCACATTTTCAATTGAGCTAGTTGGACTTCTTCCTCATCTTCATCACAACATTCTTTTGACAAATTTTATTTTTCTCGATTTCTTTTGTTCTTTTGTTGCTTTGGGTTCTCAGAAAAAAGGTCAGTTTCTTCTTTTCCATAAAGAGGGAGTTGTGATAGAGTTCTGTTTTTTTCCTTTGACATTCCCAAAGTTATGGTTTCTTTTGATTGGTACAAAGATACGAGGTGGTTATTAACAAGGTTATTCATTAGATTTGGCAAAACGGGTCCCTAAGTCTCTATCTACATCCATTTTGTGTGGACATTTAAATGTTTTTATAGTAATAAAAACTTACATCTGTCCCCTAATTGTTTCCACAAGAATATGAGTTGGGTAAGGCTGATTAAGCAATATGACATTACTCATTAACCAACTTGACAATACTGATTAAGCAATACTTCAATCTAGTGCTTGATTTTAGAACTACAATTATAAAATTCGTTTTAGAATTTTGACTAATATATAAGATAAACGAATTCCTGTGTAAGACTTTAATTTGTTATAAGGTTCCTATTTTATGTTTGTCGATGGATTTGAGTATTTGATGCCCTTATCGAAAATGGGTAAGTATTGAAAGCGAATAGATTGATTTCGCTTCTGCATTAAAAGTTTTGGATCTAAGTCTTTTATTAAGGAATTTTGTACTTTGTTTGGAAGCTCATTTTCCACTTCAATTTGACGTTTGTTTTAAATTTCGGTTAATCAACATTGTTATATTAGCGCCATATTATTTGGTTTGATTTTTATTTTTTTTTAATTTAAAAGTAGCATTAACCATTTGGTTACCCCACATTGGTGGCAATTCACTAGAGGTAGGTGCCCAAACATTTAAGAATCAGCATTTCTTCGGTGCTTTTGATTAATAATCTGCGTGTAGCGTTGTAACTACCAACCATCAAAGCTTGTCGATCGTGGTGTCTACATGTGTCCTTCTCGAAATGTTAGCCTGACCAAAGACCCACTTGACAACTCCGTCAAGGTTGCAAATCCAAATGAACAATTAAAATCTTGGGAAAATTATCTTTTGAACCCCTTAATTATTGCTGCTATTTTACATTGTCTTCTCAACTATCATATTTCTCATACCGCTAATTACAATTATGGGTCTCGCAGTGAGTAGGAGTGTCAAAATATAACACGATACAAAATTAAAGGATTTGTGTCCTTCTTAAGCTACTTGTTTAGTAAATGAGTAAACCCAAGACGATACGATTAATAAACTAATCGGGAATATGTGAAGCCGATCAGAAGAAATGCACGACACGATTCGTTTATATACCAGTTATACACGGTTCTTACATAACACGATTCCTTATACACAAATTAATAAATGAATCATGAGTGGAGTGTTTTTTGAGACGAATCTGTCTCACCCGACATAATTGGCAGTCCTAACAGTAAGTATCATACATATTGACACAAATTTAGAGATTAGAAACATATATTTTACTAAAAATGTGCATATTTTTTCTGTCCAAAACGATTGGCCTTTGAATTTGCGATAGTATGAAATCAATTCAAGTAGTTAAAGAGCAATGTAAGAAAATCAATAGTCAAGGGGGGCGAAGAGTGAGGGGGTCAAAGTATAATTTGTCCTAAAATATTAAGTTAATTTTTCAACATATTTGAGGTCCTTCTTCATGTATATATAGCTGCAACGACCAACTTCATTGCTTGCTTCCATTAGTCTTCTTTTCTTTTGTGGCCTAACTCCAACCAACCCAGTTGAATACTCTCACATTCCAATGCTTTTCTTCTGGATAACTTGCTTCTCTATCATTCTACTCTGCAAATCCTTTCTCAAGCCACTCCCAACTTGGACAAGGAAGATGAACTTTTTTCCACCATCCTGGTTTTTGAGACTACTGTCCCCATTTTTCACCTCAAGGTTCAAAAATAGAACAAAGACTGCTATTAGTTTCCTTCAAGTTCTAAAGTACAAGATTGGTCCAAAACCAAAAGCAGAAAATGTAGAAGAGAAAGAAGAAATTTCGTTATTGGATTTGCCTGATTTGGCCTTGGAATGCATTCTTGAAAGGCTTTCGCCACCCGGGCTATGTAGCATGGGGGCAGTATGCTGTTCATTGAGAGAGAGATGCAGAATTGATCACTTATGGGAGAGACACATGAAACAGAAATGGAGTAGAGTGATTGGTGATGCTGCCTTGAGGGAATGGCAACGCCACATTGCTTCAAGAAAGAGAGAAACCATCTTGGATTGCAAGAAGGAAAACAAAGGATTACTTGGGAAATTTTCCAGTGTCTGGTCTATTTTTAGGAATAGATCAGAGTTGGATGGCAGTCGTGAGCAGGGGAGTTCTTTGCCTGTTGATTCCATCATGTCTCAGTATCTTTCTCTTGAAAGGGGCAAGTTCTGGTTCCCTGCTCAGGTCTATAACCGTGAGGTACGATCATATTTGTCAACTCTTTCAGGTTTCGACCACTAGTTTAATCATCTATAACTTTCTAAAAACTGGCAAAATATGTGATCACTTGTAATTTTGCGATGCTTTTTGCAATAATTAGGACTTGATGTGATGACCTTATAATTTTTACTGCCACATACCCATGGTTGATGGTAACTTTGAATGGTTAATATAGCTATTGAGCAAATTATCTCTTAAAGGTGCAGAATGGGCTTGTTGGATTTATGCTGTCGTGTTACGATGCTGAACTTCGCTATGATCATCGCACAGACACCTTTAGAGCAAGGTAATGCTGGGGTTTTCATTCAAACATTTCGCATGTACTGTTTGGTTTGCATCTTAGGAATTATTTTTTATTTTTAAAAATAATTTGCGAGAGAAAAATAGTTTGACTAGTTATTTTTTACTTTTGTTTTTTAAAAATTGATTAAATTTAGAGAAGGAAAATGTTACATCACCACTATACCACCATCCCACCACCACTACCCGTCCAATCCAACCACATTTTCATCACCACCACATTTCTATTTTTATTATTTTTTAAGTTATTGTCCAAACAAGTATTACTGTTTATTCTGTAGTATTTTTGGAATCATATAACCAAACAAGTTATGCGACACAAAAAAATAATTTTTTAAAACTTTTCCTAAAAACAGTTTTCAGATATTATTTTTTAAGACGCAAATCAAACATAATCTCACTCTCTCGTCTAGCCTTTTTTTTTTTTTTTTTTGTGATTGAGCGTCTATGCCAAACCCCTATAATAAGCGGAAAACGGTTTCTAGCAATGCTATTGAGACCTTTTTTATTAACTTAATTTACTGACTTAATTCACTATAATTTTTATATTAACTGTGAATCACATTAAACATCGAAACTTTGTGTTAATTCAATGATTACAATGAAGGCATATTATTAAGTCAATAAATTATGTCAAATTTTTAGAATTATTAGTAGCTGAGTGATTGTGAAATTAATAAAATAATAAAAACTTTACGGGTGACATGATTGTAGACAAATGTTAAATTACACTTCGACCCACTCAACTATGTGTTATATCTCGTATTTCTCCCTCAAATATCATATTTCTCAAATTACACCTCCAACTATAGTTATTGGTTTCACAATGTCATCTCAACTATCAAATTTCTTAAATCGCACTTCAAATTATGATTATTGGTTTCACACTACTCTAATGACAGGCATCAAGAACGCTTGTTTATTAAACATTCGGACATTTTTCGTGCAAAACTTGTTGAATTTATGATTTTGGGGCAATGCAAAACCAATTCATTTAGTTGAGAGAACAATGTCAGAATTCGCTATTTGGGTGCAAAGTGAGATCGAGGGCATAGGTTAGGGGGCCTATGTGTAAGTTTACCTTAGAGAAAATTCTTTTTCAATACTGTAGTCTTAAGCCATCCCTATGATAAGGTGAAATGGATGTTCAAAGTTACATTCCTGTTTTGAACTTCAACGACTTTGGCATTGCAGGTACTCATCACATGGACGACAAATTATAGAGGACAATGTCGAGTGGAATAGGCTAAGACCACCGGCTGTCAATACTCCACCAACTGTTCTTCATGTATCTGACTGTCTAAATGATTTAAAACCAGGAGATCACATTGAAATTCAGTGGAGACGAAACAAAGAGTTCGCTTATGGTGTGTCTTTTGGAGCGTACTACCTTTAAAGATCGAATCTGTCAAAATTGGAGACTTTTTTTTCTTGAATTGGTCACGATGATGTTTTCTAGTTGCACTAATAGATGGGGGCTCAATAATCTTTGCTACATTTATCGCAGGTTGGTGGTATGGAGTTGTTAGACATTTGGAATTGTGTGACGGGAGCGAATTTCATTGCCAATGTGACAGTAGTGGTAAGAAAATCAAACTATGTTTGGGTATGTAGCTTCATGTTTTCTTCTGAGTTTTGTAGTATGAGATAAACAGGAGGTTTTTCATTCATTCGATAGAGAAAACGTGACAGATAACGATTAAAGAATAAGAAAATGCGTTATAGGATTGTTCAGACTTACTTCTTAAATAATCAAAACTAAAATTCTTGAATGAAGCACAACTAACTATTAAAGCTTCAATGTGTGATTATGTGGCACAGTGCTTGGCAGAACACTTGCTACCAAGTTCACTCAAAAAAATAAAACAAAGAGAATATTGGTAAACAAGTTTCCAATCGTAACATCCTACAGACTCGTAACTTTCATTTACTGCTCATCATAACACTTGGTTGGTACACTAGGCTAATTGAGACTCGGCTAGTTATTCATCTTCTAGTTGATCGGCTGTGTCACCAGTTCATCTGCCACAATATGCCTAGTTTTCCATGTTTCAATGCTATTTCATATGTGCATTGAACTTTAGCATCGTGTTCATACTGACCTGTTTTGTTTTTTTTTTTTTGNATTATGATTATTGGTTTCACACTACTCTAATGACAGGCATCAAGAACGCTTGTTTATTAAACATTCGGACATTTTTCGTGCAAAACTTGTTGAATTTATGATTTTGGGGCAATGCAAAACCAATTCATTTAGTTGAGAGAACAATGTCAGAATTCGCTATTTGGGTGCAAAGTGAGATCGAGGGCATAGGTTAGGGGGCCTATGTGTAAGTTTACCTTAGAGAAAATTCTTTTTCAATACTGTAGTCTTAAGCCATCCCTATGATAAGGTGAAATGGATGTTCAAAGTTACATTCCTGTTTTGAACTTCAACGACTTTGGCATTGCAGGTACTCATCACATGGACGACAAATTATAGAGGACAATGTCGAGTGGAATAGGCTAAGACCACCGGCTGTCAATACTCCACCAACTGTTCTTCATGTATCTGACTGTCTAAATGATTTAAAACCAGGAGATCACATTGAAATTCAGTGGAGACGAAACAAAGAGTTCGCTTATGGTGTGTCTTTTGGAGCGTACTACCTTTAAAGATCGAATCTGTCAAAATTGGAGACTTTTTTTTCTTGAATTGGTCACGATGATGTTTTCTAGTTGCACTAATAGATGGGGGCTCAATAATCTTTGCTACATTTATCGCAGGTTGGTGGTATGGAGTTGTTAGACATTTGGAATTGTGTGACGGGAGCGAATTTCATTGCCAATGTGACAGTAGTGGTAAGAAAATCAAACTATGTTTGGGTATGTAGCTTCATGTTTTCTTCTGAGTTTTGTAGTATGAGATAAACAGGAGGTTTTTCATTCATTCGATAGAGAAAACGTGACAGATAACGATTAAAGAATAAGAAAATGCGTTATAGGATTGTTCAGACTTACTTCTTAAATAATCAAAACTAAAATTCTTGAATGAAGCACAACTAACTATTAAAGCTTCAATGTGTGATTATGTGGCACAGTGCTTGGCAGAACACTTGCTACCAAGTTCACTCAAAAAAATAAAACAAAGAGAATATTGGTAAACAAGTTTCCAATCGTAACATCCTACAGACTCGTAACTTTCATTTACTGCTCATCATAACACTTGGTTGGTACACTAGGCTAATTGAGACTCGGCTAGTTATTCATCTTCTAGTTGATCGGCTGTGTCACCAGTTCATCTGCCACAATATGCCTAGTTTTCCATGTTTCAATGCTATTTCATATGTGCATTGAACTTTAGCATCGTGTTCATACTGACCTGTTTTGTTTTTTTTTTTTTGAAAAATATAGTAGTTTCAGATTGTTGCCATTTGTTAAAATTCTTAGAATAAACTTGTGCTGACAGACACAGTAACACTGGAGTTCAAGCAGTACGCCCCTGGCTCACGATGGAGACGAACAATGATAAATAGGAAGGATCATCGAGAAGTAGGCAATGAAGCAGACGGGTTTTGTGGAGGAATCAGAAAGCTTTACGACGAAGAAGAGGTCTCAATGTGGAAGCAACACTGGCCGACACAAGCCTCACAATAGTTTTGCACACATCCCTTAATCATCACTCATAGCTCCTCTAGAAGGAAGTATTGTTTCTAACTATATATAAAACCTTTAGGATGTGATAATTAGGCTTCTGTTTTTGTTTAGTTAGATGCTGAGGCATTGGATGTAGTCTAATAAAATGTACAAGTCTACAAGGATATCTAAATTTCTAATGAATAATATAATTCTAGGTCGGAAAAACAAATCTACTCTTAATGTTTCAGATGTCCATGAAAGCATTTTTCTGTTTTCTTCCCCTTTTTTCAGGAGTACAGGTGCATTTTAAGAATTTTGCAACAGACTTGGAGAGTTCAATTGATCTTTAATTGACGAAGGATGCTGGTTATGCAAAGTTACACTACTTCAAACCAAAACAAACTTGACATCCCCCTCCCCCCTCTCTTCCACTTCTCCTTCCCAATCTGGGCACCATGCTGATTTGCCCTTTACTAGTGGGGGTCGACCAGAACTTGTGCTTTTATTTGACCAAATAGAAGCTACTTGTAGTCCTGAGGGGACGTCATCCTCCTATAATAGTTTGCATTACTGAAAAAGCTTATTTTTTTTTTTTAAAACAAAATTTTATTTATTCACAAATGCAAAAGCATTACAAGAAACAAAAATCGAGGAAAAGGTACAAGACACCTTTCCTTAGCAAAAACCAAAACAAAAGACACCAAATAAAAAACTCTTCAACAGCTCTAAACGGCAACAAAGCACAGAAAGCTTCAAGAACATCCCAACCTCCTACAGCAGCAAAACCGCACAAAAAAAAAACCTTCCAGAAGACAGCCACCCCTAAACCACCACAGCAACACTACAGAAAATAAGAACAAAACCCATTAGCCCATATCATCAAACACCAAAGTCTTTCTCTTCCTCGGCATAGGAAAACCCCTCAGATCACCCAGCAGAGCCAGCTTTACCTCACAAGGCAACTGCAAATCCTTAGAAAAATCATACGATCTCTGTCCTTTAACTGCCTCATTAGCTAACCTGTCAGCAACAGTATTTGCTTCTCTATAAACATGACTAATCTGAAATTCCACACCCCTTAACAAATACACAATCTTCCTCAATATATGCAGCAAAGGCCATGGACATTCACAGAGGCCCAAAACAGCATTCACAAGTATCAAGGAATCACATTCAATCATCAAATTATAAACAAATAGCCCATGACTCTGAATCAAACTCAGACCATCCAGCATAGCCTGAAATTCAGCAGCCACACTAGAGCAGTCACCATAAAAGAAACTAGCCGCAAGCACCAAACCCCCAAATTCATCCCTTAACACAGCACCACCACCTGATGATATACCAGGATTCTTTCTAGCAGCCCCATCAGTGTTCAACTTCAAAAAACCAGCAGAAGGCGCCATCCATTTCACCCATATTATTTTGGTCTCAACATGAGAAAACATTTTAATAACAAAAACTCCAAAAAATAAGAACCAGTAGCATCATCCTGCACCTTTGGCTTTACGTTCTTCACCTGATACCTAAGAATGCTGCAGATCTTTACAAAGACAGAATAAGAATGAAGCAGACCCTCTCCAGCAACTCTTCTGCAGCTCTCTTTCCAAATCTGCCAAAAAATTAACAAAGAGAAACTCCGGAGCAAACCATGACCCACAGACTTTCAGTTAAAAATCCTGACCAACCTTAGAAACCGAGTCAGAGGCCTCTCCCCATCCACCAAACAAAAACTACCCACCACAGAAAATTTACCCCAAATTACCTTCGCATAATCACATTCAACAAACAGGTGGTCCATAGTTTCCACATTCTGATAACGCATGCAGCATCTGCTTGCCAAGGATACACCTACTCTCCTAAAATTAGAATCTAGAGGCAAAGCTTGACACAAGATCTTCCATCCAGAAAGTTGAGCACTAGGAGCAGTGACAGTCTTCCAAATAAGCCTAGACATCTCATGCACCACACCCTGCCTCCTTACCAGATGCCAAGCTGTTTTAATAGTAAAAACTCCAGAACCAGCACACTGCCAAACCAGTTTATCCCCAGATTCTATCAAAGACACATCACAGCCCAGCACTTCCTCCCTTAACTGCTCATCCAAAACTTCCATCAAACTGTTTAACTTCCATCGAGAGTCCACAACTAACTCATACAATTTAGGAAAGGAATGAGGCACCACTCCATTCCTACCCAATAAAGCACCATTCCCCATCCAGTTATCACACCAAAAATCACCATTCCCCACTAACTTTCTGGAATAAGCAATAACCTTTTCAAAATATGGTCTCAAAGCTCCAAAACACACTGAATGGGACTTACTCAAACACCTCAGCAATACTGAAAAAGCTAGTCATTAGTCAGAGGAAAAAAATGGATTGCCTTCGGAAAAAAAAAAAGGAGCTCGCTTAACTCGCTAGGCCTTTGCAAGTGGAAAGTCTATTTTCTCACCAACCAATTACCTTCACTCAGAATGATTTTGATGTTACATTCACTATGCACATACTCGAGGGGAGCATAAGCAAATTCAGTGTTTCAAACCTCTTAAATCGATTGATGGGAGCCTTGAAGTTATATGAGGCAGGAGCAAACTCATATTAGCCACTGCCCCAACATCAACTGGTACAAAGAATAAGCACGATAGGGGGGTTTGCTAGCATTTGGGGGTTCTCTCGTAATTAAATGTTCTAAACGGTTAGCCTAAGATTAAAGTTTTTTGAGATAACTGACAGTTCTTACAAGTGTTCTCTAATTTTTCCCATTGGTCTGGCAATCAGTGGGCAAAAGGCTACAAATCAGATTGTATAAAGTCACATTGAAGCATGGTGTGCCTTTTGACTCTCGAAAGTTGCTAGTAACACATAACAACCAACTTTGAGGATTATTCGAGTCTTTTACTCCATTTTAGTCAAGTTCATCATTACTTGAATTTTTGGTTGCTTTGGGTTCTTTCCACTATAATACTCTTTTAGCATTTTGGTGGAAACTTGAAGGAACACATCAGGGTGAGGTTTCCATTGTCTTTGTGGTTTTGATCTTGTTGCCAAAATCATCCAACTTCAATTCAAGTGGTATGGTTGGAGAGACTCAGAAGTTTCATATATTAGTTTAAGATGTTACACTGATGTGGAAACGCTTTAATACTCTAATGAACCCTACTTGCACGTAGAGAGAGGCGAAAGATCCGAAAAATATGATCATAATTGTTAAGGGAGCCCAATGTCCAAGGGCCAATATACATATATGGAACCTATATTCGCCTAAAAGCATAAGCTTATAGGTGGTGAGTTTATCTATAATATAAAATAAGATAAGTTTCAATAAGTCAATTCGATAGTCTTAAATGAACTTATTCAACGGCCACCACTATCCCTCTCAAAACCATTTACATTGTACCGTGTCTTTAGAAATGATTTACCCAAGTCCATTATATATTAATACACTTTTATTTCTTTTTTCTATCCGATGTGAGAATCTCACACATAAGACTCAATAATTTTTTTTATATGTGTGAACCACATCGGGCTTAGTCCTTATTGAGTCTAATCCACCACTATCAACGAGTATCGTGTCTAACCATTACTTACAAGAACTTGCTCTTCCAAGAACTAAGCTTTTACTACTTTTTATGAGTTACTGCATTACCACTCTATCAAGAGCCCTTGCACACAAGCCCGGACCCTGCTTTTTCTTATTTGAGTTGTGCTTGTAGGACTTCAATACCAAAAGCCCATCACATTTTAAAAGAGCCATCATTGAAACCTGCATGCTATACCACTTTTTTGTGAGTTCACTCACGATAGTCATCTATCAACTTTGATACCATTTTTTTTTCTTTTTTTCTATAAAATATATATATATATATATTTTTTTTTTTTTTTTTTTTTTTTTTTTTTTTTTTTTGAGAAGGGGAGGGGAAATGGGACTTGAACCCTTAATCTCAAGAAGACAAAGCCTTCACAAGCCAAGAAGTACCATTGAATCAAAAGTCCATTGGTAACTTTGATACCATTTGTTGGGGGACTAGGGAGCTCAATATCCAAGACCCAATATACATTTTTGGAATCCATTCACCTAAAATCTAGAAGTGGTGCGACTGAAATTTTCCCTAAAATTTAAATAATTACCAAAGAAAATGTCTAAAATATTACAACTTACAAGAAATTGATACGTTATATGTTGTATATGATTTGAACATATTTAAATTCAAAGTTGAATCATGGAAGGCACTTTTAATTTGTCCTTTCTTTCTTTTTTTCTCTAGATTTGTGAGAGTTAGATTTGTTTTAGTAGGCGAGACAAGACTCATTAGGAATTTGAAGTTCTGAACTACGTTGTATATTTCATTTCGAATAATAAAATTTATGTACTTAGTAAAAAAAATATCTACAAAATTGCAACTTGCAGGAGCTTGATTTATTGAATAAGAATGGGCAACCATCCTTGACCCATTACTGATACTTCCATTTTACAATTGTGAACATAAAGAAGAGATGCCATAGTTGCTCCATTAATAAGTATGGGGTTTCTTTGCTTCAGGACATGGACAGCTTAACCACACGAGCTTTCCCATGTTCTTTTATTTATAGCAGATCTGATCCACCATATCCGGCAAGAATCATGATCTTTGAATATGAAATGCTCGAAAAAAAATAAATTGATTGTCTGACGAGCCTTACAACCCAATTAATGTTGAATGAGATTCACGGTAGATTAACAAATTAGGTTCAAATACATTATTGACTTATTATAATGCCCGTATTATTGGGTAGAGAAATGAATCGAAGAACCAGCCACTATTTATATATTTGACACTGTAGAACAAATGCAGCCACCCACTTTAAGCAACATTTGTCAAAGATTTACAGGAAAGTGGGTGGTAACTTAATGAAGTTCCATCACCAGCTGAATCATGTGCTACAATATTTTACAACTTAATCATTCATTGACCAAAGAAATAATGCAGGCTGAACTTGTACAAGGAAAATCCTCTTTTCTCACTCTGTATCTGCTGTGATTTACTTGTCTCCATATTCTTTCTTGCTGCTGCTTTCTGGCTCTGATTGCTGAAATTTCTTGCTGCTCCATCCTTCTTTTCTGTGCTTCTTTAATCAATACGAGAAACAGAGGTGCGTCTAAACATTCTCACAAGGTAAATAATTGTATTAATCCCAAAGGTGTAGATATCGCTTTAAGACTCAAAACTACCATAGGAGCACATAGCACATGTTCAAAATGGTGAATTGATCC